TTTTGTAATCTTACACGCTTGATTATTGAAAATATTAAAATATTTTATTGATCGATACCTGCGATCTGCGACTCGTTCCCACCCTCTCCATTCTCCAATGTCCTCCGTTCTGCAATCCCTTCATTCTCCTCTTCCTCATTGCGTTTATTCCCTGTAATAATTCACGATGTATTAAAAATTTACAATGGAATTATTCGAACTTGAGTATCGATTGTTCATCTTTTTCCTCGAGGTAAACCTTATCGATGATTTCAAAGAAAAACCTGAAAAACGCGAGGACTCGACAAACACTTCACGTTGATGTGTCAAACATGAGATAAGCAATTTGGCATGTTAAATTATCGTAAGTCTAAGGGCAGGCTTCCCTTTGTTATAAAATGAGAACTACCTAGGGTACGTAAAAGTTTAAACTCGTGTTTCTAATACTTTCCCCGTTATGTTCGCCTTGAAAACAAATATTTTTCATCTAAAAATTATATAATATTTTCTAAGTAAACTACCTTTTTGCTCCCACCACTTTTGTTAATATTTTAAACATCGTTAAATCACATTTCATTTCTATGCTCTAGGTTTAGAGAATCATGTGCTTTGTTAACCGTGAATCAATTTTGGGAGCAGCTGCTTTCCGTGAAACTACGTAGAAATAATTAAAAACTTAATCTTTCCAATACGTTTCGGCGTTAAATTAAACAGCATCTAACAAATCCTGACGCAAGATATGATTGTGCAACGTTCGGCTATCACAACCCAGTCACAGGAGAATCTTGGCAATAGATTTTGTTACCGCTATTGAAAATTCGCTCGAAAGATGATAAATGTCCAATTTGCGAAGTAAAAATAAGTATCGCTGCACGATGTGCGAGACAAAAACTACGAGACTCCTAAGAAGTTGTCGAAATATTTACGATCACAGACTCTGCGATGTAGAAGGTACGAATATAACTCGGCCAATAATTGTACGAATTTGATTCAATTAAATCCGAGTTTGTCTGCGTTTTTATTTTCAGCAATTGCTACAGTTTACAAGCATCCAGATGTTACAAACATTTGCGAATACATTAAGGACAAATTTTACTTCGCCACGTTGGCCAATGACCGAAAAAATCCAAGAAGTAACTCGACCATTCATTTCTTTACCATCGACGACGAACTGATTTACAACAATTTTTACAGCGACTTCGGCCCTTTGAATATCGCTTGCCTATACAAGTGAGAACTGATCACATGCTCGTTTAAAATAAATAACTTAATGTACTGCTTGATCTTGCACTTTGTGCAAGTAAAGCTTACTTAGGTTCGACGATTTTTAAAAGTAATTTGCCAACAGATACTGTTCCAAGGTAAACAAAAAACTTCAAAGTCCGGCGCACAAGGACAGACAAATCGTGCATTACACTTCGCAACGAGATCACAAAAGAGCCAATTCCGCTTATTTGGTAGCTTCTTATGCCGTCTTGTACCTAAATAAAAGCCCGAGGGAAGCTTACAACGCTCTCTTCATGGGAGGCGACGTACCGATAAAACCGTTTCAAGATGCATCTATGGGGACTTCCATCTATACTATCCATATATTAGGTGAAGACAACCCCGCAAAATGAAACGTATTCTTTTCAATGAAAGAATATCTTTTCTTCGAGGAATGCACGACAAAGATAACAAATAATAAGCAGACGCGTCCTTTTATACCCGTTTGGTGAGACAGATTGTCTGAACGCGCTTCAGAAAGCAGGCAGCTATGGTTTCTTCAATTTCAACGACTTTGATCTGGTCGAATACGAGAAGTACGAGGACATGCGAAACGGTGACTTGAACTGGATGGTGCCCCAAAAATTCCTAGGCTTCGTTGGTCCCAGCACCGAACCTGGGACCCCTTACAATCCTCCAGAGTGTTACATCGATTATTTCTTAAAAAACGGAGTCACCGCTGTCGTCAGACTAAATAAAAAGACTTACGATGCGTCCAGGTATGTATGCAAAATTTACAAGACTTGTGGAAGGTCTACGATTCTAGGTTCGACATACTCTAACACGAATAAACACTGTCGACGCTCGAGTGCAAGGAGTTAAAGTAACCCTTTGCTCTACCGTTCCTCTATTACATCTGATACAAATTTTACAGATTCACCAAAGCTGGCATCACGCATTACGAAATGTTCATGCCAGACGGTACCGTTCCACCCAGAAGAGTTTTGAATCAGTTTCTCTCGCTCAGCGAAAACACCACCGGACCGATAGCAGTTCATTGCAAAGTAATATCGATCCCTACTTCTTTACGAGACTCGTGTGTTTACCTGCTGTACATTTATTTTATTTTCTATTTACAATCGTCCCAGGCTGGTCTCGGAAGAACAGGTTCCCTAATTGCGGCATACTTGATAAAACATTACAAAATGACGGCCAGAGAAGCTATTGCTTGGATAAGAATTTGCCGACCCGGTTCTGTTATCGGGCACCAACAAACGTGGTTGGAGAACATTGAAAAGAATTTGCTCCACGCAGGCAGACAGTACAAGTAATTGAAATTTTTGCGTGAAATCGACCTTAACATTATCTAGAACGTTTTTATATTGCTAATAGTTAGTAATATAAAAAAATATTGAAAGTAAAATTCATATTATAATACTTAAAGCGAAATAAATTCTTATTTAGTTTTAATTTTTTTAGCTTCGTTTGCAAAGATTTTATTTTGCATAAAGATCCGCACCCTAGTAATAATATTTAAATTTATTTTAGACACTTACTTTGTTTATGGTTTCCTAACCATGAGTTTATGTTACAGATTGAAGTACTATGGCGATGACAACGTGATACTTCACCACAAATTGGGAATATACTCGGTAGCAGATAAACTTGAAAGAAGAATGCGCGGTTCTTCTGATAATGGATGTACAGGTAAATGTTTCTATCAGCACCTGAAAAATTTAAACGATACAACCGTAGGAAGGACTGAAGGAAAATCGTCCTGGCTAGGGAAATTTATTTTGTTGTTATTAAAAATCGGCCCTTCTACTATTAAGATATTAAAGATTAAAAGGTGTTAGGTGATTAAAAATTTAAACGTGCAAGAAACTACAAAATGCAAACAATATGCAAGAATATAAAAAAGATTGAAAGTAAAGCTTATCTTATAATATTTGCAAAATAAAATAAATTTCTATTTAGGTTCAATTTTTATAGGGACGTTCGCGAATATTTTATTTTCCATAAAGTTCCGCAGTCTAGTGATTAATAACAACAGCAACTGTAACAAAAGCTCTTCGAAATCTAGAATTCACCAAATTAGAAAAAGTATATTTGATCGAAATATTGAATGAAAATACTTTTGAATAATTTCAGAATCCAACAAGGACGAGAATCGGCCGTTGGAGAAAACGAACAAGACGAAATTCACGAGAATTTTAGGTATATTCGATTCCAATATTTTCACGCCTTTATATTCACAAAAATTTATTCGATCCATAAATGACGTCCACTTTTATAAAGAAATGCAGACGAAGGGATCGAAATAATTGCAAACGGGATAATTATTACGAGTGATTGTTAATTAACCATAGATTCGTAACAATACTTCGCAATAATGGATTCTTTTAAAACCGAGAGCTAATTTATCATGAAATATTGCATAATTATGCCAAAATTCTAGCAAAATGTTAACGTTAGATTGTAGTTGCATCAAGGTCGAATCGGTCTTATACAATATTTCATATATTCATATCGAAAAGCTATTGATCATCAATTATTATGCATACATACACATCATACAGCAGGCACACATCGAATTTGTCATTCTGGAAATGTCTTGAAGGTCATTTTTCACAAGAAATTGGGAAATTATAATGATGCTGCGACGTCCCATCTTCTCCTTTGCACTTTTCAACCGACAGTGTTGCGCGGTCAATCCGGCAGGCTGCGCGCGCATCCTGGTTCGAGTCTAATTTGATCATTGAACGTGAAGTTTTTTATTTTTCAATAACTTTTTACACAAAAGGAAGAGTAAAAATGAAAGAATAAAATATAGACATTTTTTAGAACTCATAGCTCAAACTCAAGAGACTTCTATTTATAAAATATTAATGTTCTTAATTGCGCATGAATATGGGACTACTTGGCAGACATCTTTAGTCCGCGCAGAGGCAGTACGACGCAGCATCCAATATCGATAAATAGTTCTCCGGTCAATAGTAATTTACTTTAAATACAAGGATTTCTAATTAATCAAATAGAAATCTAAGCAGAACGACTAGTCGTATGTTACGTACAATATGTGTAATCGTGTCAAATGAGGCAGTTTTCTACGAATAAAATATTTTATTCGATGAAATTAACTGTCGCGCCAAAATCAGTGTTACTTCCAAATCGCGCATGCGCGTCCAATATGGCTAAAGGTGCAGTACCGTAACTACAGAAATTGATGCGGGTTCCTAATTCATTTATACTTTTATTATTTTCTGGGGCGATTAAGGGCGCCAATTTTATGGTCATATTAAATATTTTACTGGCACATAAAACAGTGCGTATGCGCGAGTTGGAACGAGCCAATGAACGAATTTGCACGTTTAAAAGCAATCGTAATTTAAGTCTCCTCGTTTTATGTGATTCTTTAAATTGGTTTCTGCGTTAATTCCGCTCGCAATGAAATATCAAACGAGTAAGTTATCAGACAACCCATTAGAAAATTCTCAATGTTCGTTACCTGCGTTGATCAATCGACTGTTTTGCTTCTCGAACCCTGTGTTTTATTTCATTTATCATGATAATAATCCCTCGTTGCATTTCCTTGCAGGAAAATTAAGGAACATCAGAGCAACGGAGAATTCTGAACGCGAATCGCAGAAATATAAGGACAACGATCCACGAGCCATGACACAAGGAGACAGGTTAAACGAAATTAAAATGAACAGGTACAAACTGTCGCGGAGCATCGAACCACAGCAAAGTTACATCGCCCGTGGACTCGACAGTTTAAGAAGCCCTCGCAAAAGGAAATAAAAGAGGTAAACCATAAACAGAAATTGCTGTTTTATTACATTCAAAACATTTGATGTTCGAATATCGTTTTCGTCGTTCGCGAGCAATGTCGCCAATCGGAGAATAAAACTTCTTAACGAGGAGTATTGAAGTCAGAGCTGCGAAAGAGAAATGATTTATCGAAAATTGTTTTACACGATTTTATAATTCATTCAATACAAAATTATCTTTTCGTATAAATTAAATAGAGAGAGATTTCAGGGAGGATTATTGAAAGTAATTATATAGAGTACGTAATTTCTGAAAGTTCCTGCTGATTTGATAATTGTTTTTTTTTTCTTTTTAATTTTTTCATCGTGTACTCGATCAGTTTCAATTTGTAAGAAAGATTTCATACTCTGTATATTTACTTCGAAATAGTTTCCACGCAAAATCAGTTTATCGTAGCGTCACAAAATAGGAGGTATTCCGTCGAAATAGGATTTTGAGAAACAAGAACAGGCGCAATTTACTAGTTGCGCAAGCGCCGTCTGCGTCTCCCACTTTGCAAAATTACGAGTCGATTAACACTTTTTTCGTTCACCGTTTATTTCCCCATTTCGTTTTCGAATCGTGAGTTTGACGCGATGAGATCACTTGGCATTCGAATTCGAAACAGCAAAGAAAAGCCAGCACTTGGTAAAAGCGACAGAATTTATACAAAATTCATTTTGAAAATTAAAGAGAATCATAACAGTTACTCCTTCTTTGCGATTGAACACAAATTCTGTCAAAGAGCTTTTTCGCTTCAGGAATAACAACTACTTTTAGTTACAAAAATGAATGAAATTGTTTCTTCTGGTTTCTTTAATTTTCAAAATTTTGTGCAAACCAACGTAACAGTATTTTACTTTGAGAATGTGGATGTAACATTTTCCTAGACGAGCGAATAGGATAAACAAAGCTATCGCGAGTCTACGCAGATAAAAGTGTTAATCAAAGTAATTATCGTTCATACGTCGTATGTCCATTCAACGGTAATCGTTATTATATTTTACGATTATTATTCGTTACAGATCTTATAATCATTGTAATTTATCAACTATCGAAGTTTATACATTACATAAAACATACTTTTTTTTTTTAATACCCTATAATTAATGAGAACAGTTCGGAATAGGGTATACGATTGTGCAATTTAACATCGAAGTGAATTCAAATTTGTAGAAAAAGAAACTTTCCGTGAGTAGCTGCTTTCCAGCAGGTTTATAGAGGAATTCAATGTTACATTTAAATACTAAAACATTAACGACTAATCGGATTCTGCGCATATATTTATACCGCGATATTACCTAACGGCACAGAGAGAAATATAAGAAAGTATATTATTAACTAAATATCATTTTTTTGTGTGTTAATGCAAACAAGTAATCGATATAATTAATGGGCCTTATAATCTGGCGTATCACAATGGTCAGAGTTTAATAGATGGAAGTGTAAAAAGCAGGCCATCTTCCTCTTGTACAAACAAACATATTTATGTTTTCCTCCGTAGACTGTTCCGTTGTCCGAGTACTTTTTGTTTCAAAAGAGAATCCATTACTATTTTTGTTAAGAAATTAATGTAAGGTACATTTAGGATACTATAATTCATATTTTTACGTTCAATTCTATACAGATTGAATGGGCAACGTCATTCGTACGTGTATCGTGCCTATCGCGCCGTGTGATTTCTACATCCAAACATTATTTTTGCTCCATTCATTGTTTGTTCGTTATCTGTTGTCCGAAACACCGGTTACAAAATTTTGGTTTACGAAAGTTAGATATTTCTTTTACTTGCACTAAGCACATTATTATATTTTACGGTTATTAATCGTTATTGTTATAATCACTGTAGGTTTATCATCATCTATCAAAATTCTTATTATCCTCTGGAACTATTTTTTTTTTTATCGAGCTCAGATATCGTAGTATTGATTGCTCACACAAAACCATTTTTTTTTTATTTACTATATTTAAAACTTATAATCAAATGATAAAAACGGTATATTAAAGATGATATTATCGAATATTGCAGACACTTGTACCCCTTAGTTGATTTCTTTTTGCGTTTTTCATATTTTTTTTTCGTTTTTTTTTCTATTTGACTTCCTTGATAGATAACTCCAAGGAAAAATGTAAAATGTTATAAGCAACAATATGTGATATTCAAAATGATATCGCTTGGTTTCTGAGCCTCACACCACATCGCCTTCTCGGTAATCGCACGTTATTTTACCTAACATCCTCACAGTTTCAGGTTACATTAGCGTTAAAAAGAACTCCGTCAGTGTTTTTACATGCATTACTCTTGACACTTCTGTTCTCGATCGTACAGTCTTTCGAACGAATGTTATTATGTAATTGCCAACATTGAAACTTGCCCATTTTCTTTTTTTTTTTTTTTTTTAATCTTTTTAATGCCATTCCTTTATCTGCTCATTAACGAGCGCTCTATAATGCACCATAGTATGTGAATTATCAAGGTCACGCCGCTCTGTATAAAGTTACACTCGCAATGTGTTGATTTGCCATGACCTCGACGATCGCGTCGCGTATACCATAACAAAACGTACAACCAAATGGATTTGTCGTGTTCGTCGAAGACGCACGGTTCAAGACCACTGGTCGTGCACTCGCCTTCAGTTGCTCGCTTATTCTATCCCATTTTGTATAGGCAGTGATCTAAAGAAGAAAAAGAGGTTGAAGTTATTTTGACTTCAGTATAAATACGCATCCTAATTATAAAATTGTAGGACGTAGCTCGAGTAAAACTTTGAGAAATAATTATCGATTCAGAGTCCTGCAATTTGATCGAATCACGTTTCTTTTGGAGTAGTTTATATAATTTCAAAATTTCAAATATAAATAAAATAAATAGGTGTATCATACCATAACTGGAGAAGGGGAAACATCTATGAGTTTTGCCGATTCACTGGAATTATTTTCGGGCGGCAAAGATAAAGAGAATTCGCAACGATGATACATATTAAAATTATAATGCCCTGGATAATTTGTGTGTAACACAAATTTCTTAACACATTGGGTTTTGGCATCGAATAAAACGTCCTACAAACGATAACGTGAGTTTTAAACGTACAGCTTTAGTTGTAAAATGTACAGCATTCAGTTGAGTTAAAAATACTTGCCAATCCTAAACTGAAATAATTATAGAAGAAATCCGATCGCCTTATTTTATCACGTTTGTGCGCGTGAGGACTGTGAATACGCATCTTGTCCTCGGCTTTGAAAAACACTCGAGAAGGTGCCCCCAAGGCGCTCAACACATCTTCGCACGTATCGCCAAATAACACCTAAAATAATATAACATTTTTGTTGTCCAAATATAAAAATACTCATAGCGAGCCATAGTACGAGAACAAAATTATATTATAAAATATAACCTCTTTGGTTAAGCAGCGTTTCTTCGGCTCCAGTAGTACCCTTGTTACAGAGCTACCTTCCGTGAAAAGATGCAATCTGAGACCTCGAGTACGTGCTTTGTCACGCAAAACATCTGCCTTTTCCAAATACAAGTTATTGTGATAGCAGACCTGCCAAAAGATGAACATGTATCATTCTCGTCTTAGCTTGCACATATCCTAAACTATAACAAAAAATAATTACGAGCGGTAGAGGTGGCGGTGGTGCCTTTAAATTATGTTCGTCGCTTCCGCTTCCACCAGCCATATTACCGACATAGATGGCTGTTTTTGCTACAAGCGGCGAAGTTCCATTTGGAAATTGCAGTGACCCTAAACCATGAGCATACCCAGGTTGGAACTTAGAGTCAATGGGGAAGTAAAATGATAATCCTCGAAAATTTAGAACAAACACCTAAAAACAATACAAGATAATTATAGATAATCTTTAGATGTCCACATTCATGTCAACTTGTCTGTAAAATAGATACATCATACCTGTTTGTCACTATCATAAACACCAGGATGTGTTGCTCCAAAGGAGTGTTCAATCTGTTCGATCGATGGCAAAACCTCTGGTGAATTGAATGGCAAACCGCAGTACTTAAGTTTGACTAATTTCATATTATATATTTCAATTATCTTGAGCCTTTGCACCACAGGGTCAAATATAAGCCGTACACCATCGTGAGGTAAGTTTATTACTAAATCTACATCTAAAGGATTCTGTGAAACATATTTTAATTTAGTAACCAAAGACAATAGAGGAAAAATAAATAAAATAAAAATAAATTTCTATCAATGTATACTCACACTATCGCTATAAAGTACTTGTACTCCCCGTATAATGCCCACTTGGGATTGAATTATTGACACAGACTGAGAAAAATGCATACCTAGAATAATACCAGCATTAAAAAAGCCATCTTCCGTAAGCAACTTGCACTGCGGTTCATTTTCTATCTACCATTCGTGTGTTACTTTACATTAAGCACGCATAAACAAGCACCTAACGAGGTTCCACACATTTCATTCCAAGTTCTATTCATATTTATGATGTTATTGCAACTATGTATCTATTTCTGCTTAATAATCAGTCTGGCAATCGACTATCTCCCTCTAAAAGCTTCAACAAAGTGGCGATAGTTGTCAACAATTACATAATAATGCAACAAAATATTCATAATAAACTCCATTTTCTTTGTTTACGCGCGATTGTCAAACGAGGTGTTTACAAATAGAACGAAATAGCAGAGCGAGAACGCTGGCATGACAGGCAGCATCGATAAGACGCACTAGACACTCGGGCTTCCGTTTATATTTTTCGTTGTTCGTCGCAAATTTCGCGGATCGGGTAGGAAACGTTTAATCGTTGGAAAATTATGCGTAATACGACATAGCCGCGATACATTATGAGCGTGTTTCGTCACTTGCCTAAAATAAATTCCCACTGCTCGCAGCCGAGGGATCTCTCGGGCACCACCTCCAGCTCCAACATTCTACCGAATTTTCCCTCGTTTCTTACTTAAATAAACTAGAACAGAACGAACAACGCGTCTCCAATTATCATGAGAACTGCGTTGCCCCTTTGTCTGCGTATCGCACTGTTACTAATCACCAGATAGCCATATTGCTTCCCAAACAATAAACCTCGACACTCTGCTACGGCTGGCAAACTGTCACCGAACAGCTGATACGTACCGCAGAGTACGTAAAAGCGAACGAGACTATCGGCCGTGTATTTACACGCCAGTTGATACCATATTTCGACGACAAACTTTGTCCAGTATTCCACAGATGTCGCCAAACGAACTTTGCTCCGTCGGTCATGGTAAACAGCGCCAAGATTCGAGTGTAACCCTTTCGACCCGACTTTATCCTGTCTATTCGTTTCTCTTTTAGAAATTAATTGTATTAAACTAGACTTGACTCAACTTTCATCTAAAATTGAGAGACAAAGAATACCAACTATAAATTAATGTTCTATTTAAGTAATTTCAAGCGAACAATAGACAGTTTGGATGCTTGTTTCCCAGCTAGCACCAGACTCAAAAACATACAACAAGAATACCGATAGAGCTGCTGTTTATGCAAGACGGGGTTAAAGACCACAGATAATAATTGTATTTTTTGTTCACGCGTCGTGGGGGTTCTTCGATCTAACACGGTTCGAACCAATGTACAGAAACATCTGAACTTAATTAGAAATTTTCCAGAAATTTATTTATCGTACTGGTCGACCAGGATCGACGAGGATCGACGAGGATCGCTATCGAGAGAAGAATGTTACATGACGCAGCATGTAAATAAACTATGAAAAAAATGCATGAAATTCCAAAAATCACTCAGCGATTGATAACGACAGTTTGTAGTAAATAACGTCGCAAATTTGTAGAACTTACGCAACCAGTCGGGGCAAAATACAAAATACCTCTCTCCCCTCCCACCGAACACGACGCGTGTCGCTTAACTGTAATCGTTATATTGATAGCGAATTCTGTCACTGTCAGATAAGAATGTTTCATGGTCAAAGATTTGCCTTGAACTTTGTATCGAAATCGCGATCTATTCGACCCTTGCTTGATGGATGGGAGTGTTGCAAGAAAATTGAAATAAATTCCCAAGCAGATCACTGAACAATCATCCATGATACTCATTGAACCACGAAAACAACCCGAAACATTTACCTGATCCTCGTCGATGGGAGTTAGATCTACCCAAAGAGAGTCGAGATCGAAAATTGCTCGAGATAACGGCAAAGGTTCTCGTCCAACAGAGAAACGTTATTATTCTGAGATAGAAACACTTTTGCCTTGCGAAATCGCTGTTGGGATATACATACAGCACGGTCGTGCCTACCACATTATGCAATCAATAACGATAACCGTATCGTGGACCACACAGGCGAGCCTCCAGAAACGTCAAACCACGCATGACTTTCTTGTCTACTGTGTGCAACGTGTACACTGTCTGCGGAAAGTTTCTGATCGCTTTCATTTTCATCACAGATGTGACTATTAATTAAAATCACCAGCTAAACCTGTACTGTATACAACACCTAATTGTATACTTGAATTGCGTGGGTGTACATAAATAAAGCAATAAATACATTTGCTCATCGTATACGATATACGAAGAATAAGTTTTTTTATTCGAATAATTTGATTATTAAGATCAGTATTAATATTACTGTGTTATCAATTTAGTAAATATTTACTCGAATGACGCTTGCGTTAACGTTTTTAAATAGGAATTAACACACTTCACACACGGATACGAAAAATTACGTATCGCTAATTGTATCGTGGAGGAATATTTTATATTAAATTGCATGTTCGATAAGAGAATCGATGAACGAAAAAGTTTTCCACCGGCAGTGTATGAATTATGCGTGCATTGAAATATACAGGGTGTCCCAAAAGTCGGGGAGGAGTCAGAAATGGGGGGTAGCTGAGACGATTCCGAACAACAATTTCCTTTGCAAAAATGTCGGATGGGGCTTCGTTAAGGAGATATTAAGAGAAAACCCCGACCAATCAGAGCGCGCGTATGTCGTTGGAGCGGCCGTGGTAGCGAATGAGCGCGGCCGCCTAGCGCGTAGCCTACGCTCAACCGGCATACTCGCGCTCTGATTGGTCGGGGTTTTCTCTTAATATCTCTTTAACGAAGCCCCATCCGACATTTTTGCAAAGGAAATTGTTGTTCAGAATCGTCTCAGCTACCCCCCATTTCCGACTCCTCCCCGAGTTTTGGGACACCCTGTATATTTCCGGGGTATCGTGAGGCGTCCGTTACGGTAATGACGTAAGTCCACGTTTCTTTGTTTCGCGATGTAGACGGTTTTGCGTTTCAATCGACGAAGTGTGATCAAGGTTTTTGGAAAAAATCGCGATGCACGTGTGGTTGTACGTGAATAAATCCATTTGTTAGTCCATACAATGCCGGATTTACCATAGTCCCGAGCCTCGTCTTCAACGTGGCCTCGTATTTTTCTCGGTAAAATTGCATGAAAACTTCTCAGTGAAAACATTTTTTGCTCACGTTAAATAATTTGAAAATTCGCAACGTGCGTAATACATCGATTCTCGAAGAATTTGAATATGTTCCGTCGATACATCAGGTTTTGGTGTTTGCGCGATTGATTCTACATTTCGAGGACTGCTCCAGATTCTGTAACGAAATAGTTCCGAGAGGAAGAAGATTACTACGAATCGGTTGACACGATCGCTTGACACGGCAAGGTCCACAGCTTCCTCAACCTCTAACACTCGAGGATGACTCAAAGGGGTCAGGTAAATAGCGAATGATATCATCCTCGGTCGCTAAGCAACCCGAATTTCAGATCGTTGTCTGCCGCGTTTCTGCGAAGCTGGATATCGCGATAACATTTGACACAGGATCGTTCTTAGCTGGAACAAACGTTCTCCAAATATATCTATGGACCGTGGACGCGAGATTGCTGCGGTACAAAGAATGAGCGATAAATGTTTACTGCGTCTCTGCGATATGCAAGCTTCCATAGCGAAAAGAAAACGACATGTACTTTTGTCTCCAATTTGTCTCCAAACGTGCACCTGCAAACATAAACCGGATATATTTTTGTACTTTTCCTCCCATTTGTCATCTGTTTACATTGATAATTCCTTGTTTCGAAAATACGAAGATGCTGCGTAGCATTTTAAGGGGTGACTCGCGAGGTCGTGCTAGAGATCCGAGCAAAATTTATTGAGCATAGAAAAAAAAAAAAGCAAAGTGTGCACGTATTGAGAGCAGCAGCTGAAACACGAAAGCGTTATCTTCTTAGCTGAAAAACTCCTCGGTCGTGATCCTTTTATCGTTGCCTGTTTCGCGGGACAACTTAATATTTCCATAGTACGCTTTGCACTCGGTCTAGTCTGGTAAATTAGCGATTAATTAACGAGCTTGGGGTGAGGAAAAGTCTTAGATACCGATGAACTCGTAGGGGAACGTCACCTTGAAACGAGTACACATGCATATAAATCGTGACACTAACGAGCGACGAAACGAAATTTTTCTGTCCGAAGCAACGAATAGAAAAATATTTCCTGTCGTTTACATTCAGCTAATAAAAGTACAGTTTCTCGCCGGAGAGTCGCGTATCCTTGTTACCATTACACGTAGTCCTTTGTTCCGAGAGATTAATCGCCGCCGCGATTAAAAGCGATCGATTCTAGAAACGCAAAGTTCGAAGTTGTTCGAGAAATCCATGTAAACAATAAAATTGTATTGCGCACCGGCCAGCTTCGAGCAAAGTACAATCAATGAATACGTTTCCTTTCTCTGAGTAATCTGAACGTCGATTTCTTTTCCGCTCGCGAATCCGCTTCGCTTATGCTTAATCTATTTTATCAAATTTTTTTTTTTTTTTTTATCGAATATTTTGCAATACACCGAGAACGATGAAATACTCAAAATGTATCCGTAACGTTCGATCACCAGTAAAATATACGAACAACCCTGAGTCCTAGTTTCAATTTATAAAATTGCCATCAATTGTTCGATCTAATATTTAAGAAACGTACGATTTAATTCGCGTATTTGTTAGCTTTCAAATAATTGCGATCTTCGTTATTGGTACGTGACTTCTATTTGCTCGTCTGTCTCGTTACGTTGCATCGATGCAAGCGCATCTGGCTTGGTCCGTAGTTCACTGTCTGGAGATAATTTACGAATGCCGCATTTCGCGCGATAACGTGGCGAACCGTCGAATCTCTGGTCGCGAAGACCAAACGATGCACTCTGTTTTGTTACTTTTTTTCAACGACTTCATTTCATTTTCGTTTCGAGATGTCGCGAGATACATTGTCTCGACCAATTACTCTCTTGACTAAAAAAAGTTATTTATGGTTTACAGATAACGATTGACGGACGCTGATACGCGAAGCGCTGTTTTAACACGCTGCGAATGAAACAGTGGATACAAATGGAATAGTAACAGCGTAAATGTCGTGGAAACGGTATTAGAGAAAGGTAATGCAATCTGGGATGATAGTCCAATTAGAAAATTTGAAGGGATTACGATTCCCCTTATCTCGAGAGTTGATTCACCTTTGAAGATTTCGTGGGATTCTCCGATACTTATACTTTGAACCACCGTCTCGCCGAGTAGATTATTTTTTTATTAATTAGCGACATTCGAGATTCATTCTCCATCCGTCTGCAGTAAATAGAATTCAAGTTTGTGTAACGCGAAACACAAGAGACTACGTTTATTTTGTTTACAGTTTGATGATATACATAACGTAGACATAGCATACCATAAACACTGGTCTTATCGATTAGAAATAAACCCACAAATCTAAAGAAAAAAAAAAAAAAAATTGAAGATGGAAAAAGC